GACCCCCCCCCCGACCTAGAACCCCGACGTCATGATTTCTTCCTGACGCCGACCCGCAGAGGGCTCGCCCCGCTCCCCCGGACCAGCTTCTCATCCCGACTCGCTCCTGACGGCCCCGGGGGGCCCGGCGAGGGCCCCCGTATGCCGAGAATGGCCAAACGCCTCCCGTCGTTACCCCTTGACGACGCGATCATCAGAGGACTCCTAGATGCTGTCGGCGTAAATGAGGTCGGAGGATCGCGCCGCATCGCCGATGCATGGCCGATGCATCGGCGATGCATGGCCGATGCATCGGCGACGCCTCGGCGCCGTCGGTGTGGAGAACATCGGGCTCCACATCGAGCCGCATGGCCGACGCATCGGCGATGCGGGGCGATCCTCCGACCCCATCTGCTCGGCCCCAATCTGTAGACAAGCGCGTTCCACTACTCGCAAGGTGGCTCCTCGCAAACACGGCCTGGACCCACTCCATCGGCTAATTAACACGCTCCCCTGCCTCGAGCAGCGGCTGCTTCTTGGACGTCGGCGAGCAGGCACGCTGCGAACACTGCACCGCGCTCTGGAGGAGGAGGAGGAGGAGGAGGAGGAGGAGGAGGATCTGGAGGAGGAGGAGGAGGAGGAGGAGGAGGAGGAGGAGGAGGAGGAGGAGGAGGAGGAGGAGGAGGAGGAGGAGGAGGGGAGGAGGAGGGAGGGAGGAGGAGGAGGAGGAGGAGGAGGAGGAGGAGGAGGAGGAGGAGGAGGAGGAGGAGGAGGAGGAGGAGGAGGAGGAGGAGGAGGAGGAGGAGGAGGAGGAGGAGGGAGGAGGAGGAGGAGGAGGAGGAGGAGGAGGAGGAGGAGGAGGAGGAGGAGGGGAGGAGGAGGAGGAGGAGGAGGAGAGAGGGAGGAGGAGGAGGAGGAGGAGGAGGAGAGGAGGAGGAGGAGGAGCAAGGAGAAGGAGGAGGAGGAGGAGGAGGAGGAGGAGGAGGAGGAGGAGAAGGAGGAGGAGGAGGAGGAGGGAGGGAGGGAGGGAGGAGGGAGGGAGGGAGGGAGGGAGGAGGAGGGAGGGAGGGAGGGAGGGAGGGAGGGAGGTGGAGGAGGAGGAGGAGGAGGAGGAAGAGGGGAGGAGGAGGGAGGAGGAGGAGGAGGAGAGGAGGAGGAGGATTCGAAGCATGTCTGGGCCCGGAGACCGGCGCCGACGACGCCCCCCGCCGGCACGCCAGCGGCGCGGCGGGCCGCGCCTGGGCGGAGCCCCGCGCGCGGAGGCCCTGCGCCGCGGCCTCGCGCGCGCGCGCAAGGACGGCGGCTGGGAAGCCCAAGGGGGGGGGGGGGGGGGGCACGGCCCCCCCTCGCGGGCGGTCGGCCGGGGCCGCCCCTGCCCTCCCCCTCTCCCCCCTCTTCTCCTCCTCCTCCCCCTCCTCTTCTCCTCCTCCTCC